ATGATCTTGGATGTCCCTTCCAACCCAGCTGATTCTGTGATTCTATAATTCTCTGGAAAAGAGCAATTCCCTGGGATAAGCCCCACTGGAGTAACTTGTGGATACATCTCTCTCCCTCCAGCAGTGGGGATCACACAGGGACCCAGAGAGCCCAGCTGTGACACTCACTTGGAAATCACAGAAAGTGGCATTTGGTGCCGTGTTCTCTCCAGCAAAACCCAGTGTGATGATTCGTGGAAGAGAGGATCCATATTCCCTGGGGTTAACTGCATTTCTCTGCCACACATTCCATTCTTTCAAGTTCATAGGAGTTTATTATCGTTGAGATCAGTCATGAATTCTTGTGGAGGATTTTATGTTTCACCAAATGCAAGATTTAATGCTTTGGGGGTTATCTGTCTCATCTTGGAAGAGTTTGGAGGGTTTTTCACTTTTTATTCAGTGCCCAAACTACTTAAAGCTGGATGTGCTGAAATTCTGCAGAGAAAGCAAGACAGAACATAGGAAATAATTCCAACAGACACATCAAACAGGAACTATTCAGGGTTAAATTGGAGTTGGTGTCTCTACATTAGATGCCTTAAGAACTGGATATTTCAAGACCTTTAGATATTTCATGACCTTTTCAAACCAAAAAAGGAGAAATTTAGATGGGATATTGGGAAGAAATTCCTCCCTGTGAGGGTGATGAGGCCCTGGCACAGGGACTGGATGAGCTTTAATGTCCCTTCCCACCCAAACCAGCCTGTTGTTCTGTATTATACTAAATAATTTTTGATTTTGACTTTGGGTGATAGTTTTTGCCTTATTATGTGTTCTGAAGAAAAAAAGAAAAGTAATCATAAATATAAAGTAAATATAACCTTTGGAACTTTTAATTTCTTTTTCCAAGCTAAAGATCCCATGGTCCATGTCAAGGTGCCACCACACAGAGGGATTTCAAACCCAGCCTAGGGACCACCTAGGCTGACCTAAACAGCAAGGAATCCTGCCCAATAATGCTGATATCAAAGAAAGGTTTTCTCTTTGATCTCTATCTTTTTGTGTGTTTTTCTAAAGATGTCTAAACCTGATTTTTAGAAGTCAAGTAAAGGAGAAGCCATGACATGCCCTGGCTGTTGCTCAGGTGATTTAACCACGTCAGACTAGAAATAATCCCAGTTTTTATCTGTAACCACTGCACCACTTTATGCCCTTCCCTGCTCTGCAGAAAACCTTTATTTGTAGAATTTATTGTGCCACATCTTGATCTTTGCTTGGGCAAATCAAGGAGAATACACTTTATTTGTTTCCCATGATATGAACAATCATATGGAATGTCAGTCTTAAATCACTCTTCAGTCACTTTTCTGAAGACTTTCCCTTTGTCCTTGTTCATGCAAGGGGAAGAAATCAAAACTGGCTCTTCCTGGGGTGTGTGGGGGGAAGGCAAGAGGCATAAACTGGAACAGGAGAGGTTCAGACTTCCCACGAGGGGAAACTTTCCCACCATGAGGGTGACCAAATCCAACTAAATCCATGGGCAGCCCAGTGTGACCCTAGAGGGGACCTTGCTTGGAGCAGGGGGTTGGGGGAGAGACCCCCTGAGCTCCCCTCCAGCTGAATTATCCTGTGGTTCCATGAAGTCAACCATAAGGAAAATAAGCAGAAGAGCTTAGAAAAATATTGGAAAAGAGCTTCATTCTTATCTTTCATGAATCTTTCTCTTCTAATCAGCCCCTCAGACACACTGGCATCAGATTCATTACGACCACTGACATCAGAATTCCCCATGGGCTTCTTTGTGGATGCACAGGAGAAGTGCTCTGTTAGCACTGCCTAAAGTCCTTAAAGAGAGATCAACATTTCTGATTTTGAAAGATTTTGGCCATAAAAATTCACTTTAGGCCAAAATTGCACATTCACTTCCTTTCTCACATTGTGCTCCTGAACAAAAACTGTCTCAGCATCTTCTGGTCCCTGAACCTTTTGTGCTTTACACCTTCTTAGTTGGGGTTATAGCACATCCCTACTGCACTGGAATCAGATGGAAGGTGTTCCTGTGGGACCAGGAGCCAGGTAGAGAACAATATTTAACACAACTGCACAGTGTTTATGAGGGGGGACACTGTAAAACGTGGCTCTGCCCCACTAGTGAGCGTGTGGTGAGACGGGGCAGCCCCAAACCAGCTCCCTGGTAAATCTGGGCCATTTTGCAGTGACAAAAGTTATGCAAAAAGAAAACAACCCTCTGCTTTGCTTTATCCCATGGTGTGACCCAACACACCAGTGCTGGCACGAAAATATATGAAGAGAGTTGTGGAGTTACGTGGAGCAGAGCACGACCCAGTTCTGTGGTGGAAACCCCAGCTGCAGTTCCCCACCGGCACTGGGGCTTTGCCAACCCCCTTTTCATTCATCCCTCTCCTTCCAAACACTCCCCATCCACAGAGACAGAAATATTTATGATCTTTCCTGAGGAAATTGCTCCAGTCCCCCCTGCAGCCCCCCTGCCAACATAAACAACAGCAGGGAGAGGACACGGCCTTTATCTGCATCTGATGTGTTGTGGTGCTGTTTGATTTCCCTCTTCCAGGTGGGAGGGAGGTGCCCAGAAAGCCATAAAGCCCAAGGCACTGCCTTGGGTGGCTGCACTTGGCCACCCCACTCACCTCCATCCTCACCAAGGCCCTGGGCTCCCAGAGCCTCGTGCCCAGATGACAACAAACACTTCCAAGGAAAAGCGTTGCTGGACAAGCTGAGGCTGAGGGGTGGGAGAACAGCCAGGGGCCAACTGACCGTCTGACAGATGCTGGGATGGGCTCCAAGTCAAACATCCCATCAAAAACCATCCGTTCTCAGTCTGCCTGTGCCTTGGGCTGCCCCCAGTCTGGCTGATCCTCCCTGTCCTGGCTATCGGTGTAAAAATAGAAGAGAAAGGGAAAAGAAACCCAGAGGAGATATTGGGTTGATGGCTTCAAACTGCCAGAGGGCAGGGTGAGATGGATACTGGGGAGAAATTCCCCCTGTGAGGGTGGGGAGGCCCTGGCACAGGTTGCCCAGAGAAGCTGTGGCTGCCCC